TCACCTTCATCAGTTCCCCCCACGCCCCCAGTGCCCCCCGAGCCCCCTTCGGTGAGGCTAGAGGGCGCTGCTGTCTTTGTCTGCGTGTCGTCGGCCAGGAAAGAGTCCCACCCTGCCAAGCGCTTGGCCTTTTCCTCCTCCGTCTCTTGGACTTCGTACCTCGTCTTGCCATCGTGCGCTGCGGCCGTGATGCGTCGTTTGGCAAACCAGCGACCATTGAGTGCCGCGATACATTTGTCTGCTTCCTCCGCCTCCTTGAAGGTCACCGAGATGACACCCTCTGGATTTCTCTGGGAGACAAAGTAGAGAAAATTGCTTCACATCTTATCAGGATCAGAAAAACATGGACATGTAAAACACAACAACATAAACCAAGGCCAATCATTAGCCAGATATGAGAGATTCCACAGGCAGTGACCAGCCAATCATTAGCCAGATATGAGAGATTCCACAGGCAGTGACCAGCCAATCATTAGCCAGATATGAGAGATTCCACAGGCAGTGACCAGTGGCGTCGGTAGCCTAGTGGTTAGGCTACCGGACTCATAATCATTAAATTGCGGGTTTAGGGGTTCGAGCCTCAGCTCGGTCCGACGTTGTGTTCTTGGGAAATGCACTTTCACTTTACAAGAAATTCCTCCTTGGCTCAGTCCTTTCAGAGATGAACGTTTAACTCGGAGGGTCCCTCTCCTTAAATAACCTAACAGTGTTGATAGGAGGAGACAGATGTTTAACTCGGAGGGTTTCACATCTTCAATATCCTAACAGTGTTGATAGGAGCATTAAACTGATAGCATTTCACCATGTGACAGACAGTGACTCGTCTCCAAGAGCTCATGTCCCCTCCAACACTTCATGTCCCCTCCAACACTTCATGTCCCCTCCAACACTTCATATCCCCTCCAACACTTCATGTCCCCTCCAACACTTCACAGACAGTGACTAGTCTCCAAGAGCTCATGTCCCCTCCAACACTTCACAGACAGTGACTCGTCTCCAAGAGCTCATGTCCCGTCCAACACTTCACAGACAGTGACTAGTCTCCAAGAGCTCATGTCCCCTCCAACAGTTCATTAGGTGGAAAACTCCACACGTTCGTAGCCACACTTTGGAGTGGATAGATGGATTTGTAACCCTGCTCCATACATTTGTAGCCACACTTTGGAGTGGATAGATGGATTTGTTACCCCCCTCCATACATTTGTAGCCACACTTTGGAGTGGATAGATGGATTTGTAACCCCGCTCCATACATTTGTAGCCACACTTTGGAGTGGATAGATGGATTTGTAACCCCGCTCCATACATTTGTGGCCACACTTTGGAGTGGATAGATGGATTTGTAACCCCGCTCCATACATTTGTAGCCACACTTTGGAGTGGATAGATGGATTTGTAACCCTGTTCCACACGTTTGTAGCCACACTTTGGAGCGGATGGATGGATTTGTAACCCCGCTCCATACATTTGTAGCCACACTTTGGAGTGGATAGATGGATTTGTAACCCCGCTCCATACATTTGTAGCCACACTTTGGAGTGGATAGATGGATTTGTTACCCCGCTCCATACATTTGTAGCCACACTTTGGAGTGGATGGCTGCATTTGTTACCAGTTTGTACACATTTATTTGTTTGAGTAGAGAGAAGCACATCCACACAATAATTGTCATCTAGCATGGGAACAAGTCAGACAGACAGACAGAAACAACAGAGGGAAAATAGAGAAGAAGAACCTGCCAGTGGCGCCCTCCAACCACCCACCTATGCGTTTGTAACCACACTTTGGAGTGGATGGATGATTTGTTACCCTATTCCACACGTTTGTAGCCACACTTAGGAGCGGATGGATGGATCTGTCAGCTGGTACCCTGTTCTACACGTTTGTAGCCACACTTACGAGCGGATGGATGGATCTGTCACCTGGTACCCTGTTCTACACGTTTGTAGCCACACTTAGGAGCGGATGGATGGATCTGTCACCTGGTACCCTGTTCTACACGTTTGTAGCCACACTTAGGAGCGGATGGATGGATCTGTCACCTGGCATACATTTGTAGCCACACTTTGGAGTG